ACCGGGCTGATGATTTGAAGGTAGCCGGTTCGAAACGGGTCTGACTTAAGGGACAAAGATAGTTTAGTTCAAAATTCCTCCGTTAATAGCGTTGCAGTAGAGAGCACAGCGCGTAATTTTTACTTCACTATTAGGCCTAGTTAATTATAAAATTAAGAAAAATTATAAAATTGCTCTTAAAATTTTTCAATTATTAAATTAAACTGTCATAACCTAACCAAACGTGCTGATAATGAAAAAATCGAATGAAGGTTTACTAATCTAAAAAATAGTTTTGTTCATAAAATAAAAATATAAATGCCTAAAATTCAATTTTATAATCTTGTAATTATACAATTAAACTGTCATAACGTAACAAAACCAATCAAACTTGCTGATATGAAAAAAAATTTTGACAAAAAGTTAGTACTGCCAGCGGGATTCGAACCCGGCACCTTCGAATTATCAGCCCGACAGGCTATCCACTTCACCACCGAGGCAGTGAAGTGACTGAAATTCGTATGGTTGTGGTAATGGTCTTCCCTCAAGAGGAGATCTGACGGCCGCAGAACGATTGGCACACATTTTTAGCAGATTTGGAATAGCACGACTGGCACAATCATTAGAGGGGATTAAGGCCCCTATTACACGAGGTAGCCTGGCGACGTCGCCAGCGACCAAACTGGCTACTCAGCTTGTCATGGGGCATTGATTCTTATGGATGTTATTACACGAGGGTAGCCAGCGACGCAGCCACACTTTGGCGACCGACTGGCTACCGAGCCCCGTCGCCACTGTGGTAGCCACTGGCTACCCATATTGGCGACGCTGCGTTGTAGCATATGGAGCTTATTACACTAGGTCGCCAGTATCACGTCGCCACTCGGTTAGTTCATATCACGGGGGTACTTGCACACTGTTGTGTTGCGTTCTGTTGTGTTGTGAGTGTGTGAATTGTTCACTTCAGTTGATAAAATGTCTATATCATCCTTTATGACTCGAAGAAACTGGATTGTGACATACGAAAATAATTGAAACATTTTTCATTGTCCGCACAGAGCTCATCAAAAAGGGTGTAATATAACCCTTTTGATTCTCTTGCACTAAGCATTGGATGAACGTACATTTTTCTCTTCCTTTGCCTCCTTTTCTTCTGAAGTAACAGAAGGAGAATATACTTATAATCACTCATTATTCACTGTAAACACCGCTCATAACAAGTACAAGTGTAAGACAAGCACTCACAACAACGGCGGTAAAATTCTGGCTACTCAACTGGTTATAGGTTTGGTGGCCAGTGCGTCGCCAGCTACTGCCGCTGGCGACGTCGCCAGGCTACCTCGTGTAATAGGGGCCTAAGAAGGGTCAACCTGTAAGGTTCGGAAAGGCACGATTGGCACAACAGACCGGTAAGGAAATAGTAGGCAGGTAGCCAGAATGCGGGAAAATGGAAATTGTTCTGTCCCCACTGTAGTGTCCCTGCTGTAGTGGTTATTAGAGTAAGCAATTACTTCATCCATGGTGTAAGTTTGCGCGACAAATCTGCTGCTACGGGCACTGCCCTAGCTGGACCCAAATAAAACTACACTACACTAACCTAACCTAACCTAACTTAACCTAACCTAACCTAACCTAAACTAACCTAACATAACCTAGCCTAACTTAACATTTGAAAATACGGGATATTACCGGCAAATGACTGTCGTAGCAGAGTTGACGGGGAATTTTAAACTTCCCGTTTTCCCTCGTTCGATGGCGTCTACCTGGTCGAGCGGTTGTGCCAATCGTGCCTTTTCCAATCAGGCGAGTTGACCCCATCGATCTCTATTATTTCGATGGTTGACCCTACTTATTCCGCTCAAATGATTGCCAATACTGCCATGGACAGAAGATCCAAAAATGTGTGCCAATCGTCCCGTTCCCGATCTGACAGCTGACGTCATCGAAGGCTCTTCTGTACTTCCCTTGATTAAATACCGTTCGAAACCCACCGGAGGCGTAAACTTTTTGACTCGATTTTTTTCATTTTCAGCAAGTTTGGTTGGTTTGGTTAGGTTATGATAGTTTAATTTTAGGTACTTTCCTGTTAAAGGGAACATTCATTATTATCGATGATTTTTTCTCGATATATCAATATTAACAAATTGAAACATATCAGCTGACAACTACGATAAATAAATATTGTCCAGAATCGACAAACAAAAATTAAAAAAAATATTGAAATAAAACTGTTCTAAACTAACCTAACAAAACTAACCAAACTTGATGTAACATTTAAAAACTCCATTAAATATTCTCCACTCGCCTTTTCTGTTATCAAACGGAATTTTCAAATGGTACAGCAAGTTTGGTTGGTTATGTTAGGTTAGCTTAGAACAGATTCATTTCTTTCCATATAATAGGACTAGCTGTTGGCCCGTTCTACGTACGGGAATCTTGTAGTAAGTTAAAACCTTATTCAGAACAGGAGTTGGTTTGCATATTTAGTGTGCATTTTTCCAGATAGGATGGCAAAACTATAACTGTTTAGGAATACATATAAACCTTCTCAAATACAATATCTGACAGTTTTAAAGCCAAAACGAATGCTTCGCAATTAAATGTCACCCGATCGTGTTAGTCCAGATTTTATATCTATCTAACGATGAAAGGAAATGCTTTACAGTATAGATCTATGAGGCATAGCCCTAAGGTAGGCCTGCAATTGAAAGTTACTTTTCACACTGGTTAAAGGTAGTTAAAACACTACCTCAACCTCACTACTGCACACTTTATTCGGGTTGAAATTTTTATTAACAATGGTGGTCTTGTCTTTTCCACAAAAATAAGGACATTAATGCGTTACCAATAGACATATACACACACACAAATTCAGAATTGAGTCCACACAACATTTTGGAGTCCAGGCAGAAAACGCTAAACATTATACAGTAAGACATCAATTACATTTAAGCAACAAGGTGCAGCGTTCATAAATAAATAGTGAAAATAGTGATGTGTTTCTATGTAAAAATGATTCTTACTGCTACCACCGGTTCTAAGGACAAGTAGCAGTACCAAAAACCAACGTTTACATTTGAGAAAAGAACTGTAGTATTTACGACTAATTCAAACTGTCCTTCTAATCAAACTGTATTATAGGTGTTAATCTGTTAGCAAATATATAAATAAATAAATGCACAGGCCACAAAACATGTAACATGTAACGTTAACAACGTAAAGCTTTGAAAACTCACTATGGTTTGCTAAAAAAAACTTTCACTTGATGTGGTACAGTACCGAAGTTATTAATCTCCTTTGGTTTTAATTTTTTTAAGTTTTTGAAAATAAAAGTTATTTCCCATTAATAGCATTATTTGTAAGCAGCTTTTAATGTTAACATATTAATGACAGTTTGAAGAAACCACCTTTATCCAAACAAAGGTTTCTTATTTAAAAGATTACGTAATCTCTAAACGATAATCGGTACATATATCTAGCAAACATTCGGAGGAAATGTGACAAAAAACGCACAAATTTGGGGTTTTGTACGTTTGTAGTTTTATTTCCTAAGTAGGGAAAGTACCGATTTCGTTGTCGAAATGTAAGTAAGTAGAAACCAAAAGTGACACATTGGAAAAGCGAGTTTAGCTACATCTGTTAAGTTAAACCTCTGTTACGGTACGATCACTGCGAAATCAGAAAGATCCACGATCACCCACTGCAGTTGTGATTTTTTACTTTTCACTTTACACAACTGTCCTTGAAGCGCCGTCAATGAGTGAAAACCTTTGTAAGCTACGGTATTGGTGACGATGATTAAAAAAATGTAAGTCTTCTTGCACTAATACAACACTGATTCACGGTATTTTCCCCGGTTATCAAAACTCAAGAACAATCCTTGCACTTGCGATTAATTAAACCGGTTAAGTAAGGCACAGCGTTTTTAATCTCACTTGGTTTGGATGTACTGACAAAACTTGATCGGAAATGGTTGCGGTATTTGTAAACAACTTTTAATGTAAACATATCAGTGACAGCTAGAAGTGAGAACTAATCCAAACAGCTGATCGTTATTTCATAAAATGTAATTTAATAGTAGACCTAAACATTGGGAGACAATTTGACAAAAATCGAACAAAATTGGGTTTTTGGTGGTTCGTTATTTTGTTTTCAAAAAAGCGAGGCCATGTTTTTATAGCCAAAGACACTCTCACCAATCCAGTAAATACAGAAAAATGATTAGAACCTTGATCGGTACTCTAGTTTTCTAGGAGTAGGCCGCGTAAAATAACATGTTGGCGTTACAGACGGTACCACAGAATGGACAAACAGACAAACAGACATACAGACAGAAATTGAGATAAGACTCGTTTCGTCTTTCTAAGGCTATGAAACGTTAAAATAACCAAAATCTGCATGATTCTAAGCAATGTACAGACAAAACTGTAATTTTATTTATATAGAAGATATATTTTAGCCTAAATATCAGCTGTCAATTTGTAATGTATCGTAAAGGGAAAAAATCGATATATCGAAAAAAGATCATCGATAATAATGAATGTTCCCTTTAACAGGAAAGTAACTAATTTTATAATTAAAAATATATATAATTGATTTTGAGACATTTACAATTTTATTTTATGAACAGAAATATTTTTGTTATTAGTAAACAATCATTCGATATTTTCATTATCAGCAAGTTTGGTTAGTTTGGTTAGGTTATGACAGTTAAATTAATTTAAATTTAACGGTACTTATTTAGGACCTACGAACGATACGTTTTGACAGCGACAGTGATCGAGATAACAATTTCCCACGAACAGTTCTGCTATGCACGGTATGATGCGTTCTGTACGGCGCGGTGGTGGGCGGTGGTGGTCTGTCGGTAACGTCTCGTGACGTTTGGCCTTGGCGTTCCGTTGGCGTTTGTTAGTTATTGTTTTTGTCTGTGTGAGTGTGCCAGCCAGTGCAGTGCAGTGTGATGTTAGAGTACACTTGTTAGAGTGCACTTGTTTGGTGGCTGTTACAAGGTAACAGTGTGATATATTGAGGTAGTGTCGAGTTCAAGGTCACTCATACAACTGTTTATTATAATTGTCAATTTAATTTTGTGTTATCACAGTTTATGTGTAGGCCTAATGTGTTTCATATGATGATTATTCATCACTAAACACATACTTTTTCATTGGACATTATTATACCTTCGGCATGTGGTGGTCTGGACCACTGGTGGTCAGCTGTGTTCTGGCCCACGCCCTCTCGGCTGATATTCTCGCGGTATTTCCTCACACTGGTAAAAGTCACTTTGACGTGTTTGAGCCTCTAGTACTCGCGCTGGCCGACAGAGGCCACCACGTGACAGTCATCAGCTTCTACCCTCAACGTCAAACTGTCAAAAACATCACGGACATCAGTCTCGTGGGTCTCGTGCCGTTACGTGTCAATCAAGTTAGATTCGATGACATCGAAACTCCTTTCACGGACTTTATCTCTATGGCGACTATGGGGCTAGATATGTGCGAAAAGATATTATCTCATTCGACTGTCAAAGGTTTCTTACGTGCCGATAAGAAGGTGGATGCCATTCTTATAGAATTTTTCAATACTAATTGCTTTTTTAGTCTAGCCCACAAATATGCGGTGCCGTTTATTGGCATCGGGTCCGCGAGTCTGAGTCCAGACCAGGAGGCCAGAATAGGCAACCCCTGGTTGCCAGCGTATGTGTCTAACCCCGACCTGGCCTACTCTTACGTAATGGGGCTGTCCCATAAGATAGTGAACGTAGTGTACAGCGTGGCTACGCGCGCTGTTAGAGCGTATTACATACAGCACGAGCAGTACGTAGTGGACCGGCTCGTGGGACACACACCGCCACTGGAGGACATCGCTCGCAACGTGAGTGTAGTGTTAGTGAACACACATAGCTCCATGCTGAGATCCCGTCCCATGGTACCGGGCTTTGTGGAGGTTGGGGGAATACACATCAGACCCCAAAAAGTTTTGGATGAAGTGAGTATTGGTGTCCGATTTTGATTAAGTATGGTATGTGGGTCTTAAAACCTGTTTAAGGTAACAACAGCTTATAACATGTGCCGCGACAATACAGAAGCAATACGCAGCTGAGAGCTTACCGTGCCACTTCAATGCCTAAAACCATTGACTTTGACTACTGTATATACCATAACGTTATAGTATATAGTCAATGCTAGAACGCAAACTCCGCTGGCTGACCGGGCTCCGGTTATTCGCATGCGGTATCTCAGGCGTTTTTGTGTGTTTTTTTGGGGGGTAACGGACACACATCCTGGGGTCCTTCGGTGGTTCCTATTGTTTGTTGTGGAGGGTGTAGATTTCTAGGAAGCAGGGACCGGACCTCAGCTTGCGTTTTACTCAATAAATCCAGGAATCCTCCAGAGGGTACAGACCGGTCGCGCGGAGCGGTCAAAAATCTGTCAAAACTGGCTGACAGGTTGCGCGGAGTGGTCTGTTTAGGGTTGTGAACGTTTCAAATAGTTACAGTTCTGGGGCCTAAGAGCTCTTTCCCACCGGTCTTTGAAGTTCCAGAAGTATGGAAAACTGGTTGCTGTTCTGTTTAAGGTAGCTAACTTAACTTCAGATTTGTAACTTTTAAAGCTGGACACAAGTATCCAGACTTTCTTTCAACCTCGCGTGGGGCGATTACAATAAGCAGCAACCACTGACGTCAAAAATATAAAGAAATATATCATGTAAAAATAGTATTTTAGTATAAACAAATCAGTTGTTAAAATGTTCGTCTTGGTGTGAAGATGTGCAAACTGACCTTTCATTTTGGGCTCTGCCCCAGTGGCTTTTAAAGCTCCCATGTTATCCTTATTAAGAACATATTTGTTTACATTATGATCATTTGGATAATTTGATTGCTCTTATTTTAGCTGCAATTTAAGGAAACGTTTACTTCAAAGATTTACTGGTGAGGATGAAGTGCAATATTTACTTTTTGAATTTAGGTCGGCGTAAATATTACAATCTCTGCATTTGTATGTAAACAAATACAACGAGAAAGACAAAAATTAGAATCTACAAAACAATAGTAAGACCTGTACTTTTATATGGAGGGGAAAATTGGATCCTGAGCAAGAACTCAGAAAAGAAAATAATAACTTTTGAGAACAAAGTTTTGAGAACTATATATGGGCCAGTATGTGAAGATGGAGTATGGAGAATCCGCCACAACCGGGAGCTAAGAGAATTATTTCAAGACCCTGATATCATTGGAGAAGTTAAGAGTAGATGATTAAGGTGGGTTGGCCATATCCTAAGGGGAAAGGAGGAGAGTCTACTGAAGATAGCACTCAGAGGAAATCCGAGGGGAAGAAGACCAATAGGTAGACCGAAAGCCAGGTGGTGGGGTCAAGTACGAAAAGATTTGGAAAGGATGAGGCTTGTAGAGGAAGATGCATGGGACCGAGAATATTGGCGACAGCGTGTTGGCGAGGCCAAGTACCAGCTAGGGTACAAGTGGCCATGGCAGTAAGTAAGCAGTAAGCAGTAAGTAAATATTACAATGTAAAAAGTAAGAAATCCTGGACAATTCGATATACTACTAAAGGTAAACTGTACTAACACTGTGCTCCATTTTTTAACGATAATTGAAAGAGCCAATTTGCAAAATATGAAGATCATAGAATTTTTTAGAATTAATCGTTTTTATAAACAACCTAATTCGGCTATGAGAAAACACTAAAAACAAGATCAACTTTTGAAGTATGATAACATATTATACCCGGTTCAAACAGCCATGGCACCTGACGGATTAGGAGAACCCATGGAAACCCTTGGAGTCTCCTAATCCCTCAGGTGCCACGGCTGTTTGAACGGTTTGAACCGGGTATAAAAGAAATATTGATTATATTACGTATATCGTGAGTTTTCCATAATCAGTCGTCTTTTAAGTCATCTTTTAAGGTAATAATAATGATGAGTCGCCTCTTTTAAGGTCATCGGAAATTATGACTGTTATTCTTTCTTAAAACAACGCCTGTAATACTTCGCAATTGCTCGAATTCGAGCAACAGGTACACAAGTTACTTATCAATTCAAACATAAATGTAACTGTTAACAATCCTACTTTGACAGTTACCATTGCGTATCACAGACTTTTGTTTTTGCAGCTTGGTTAAAATTAGCTGTTGTCAAGAATGCAAAATATTAATAGTGCTGGACCCTGTTAGTAAACCTTATAACTTTGTAATGATATTGAATATCTTAGAACCAATTTGTGTAGTTGAAACAGCTGAAAAGATTCTTTAATCTATATATATAAAATCCAATGTATGTTTGTATATTTGTATGTTTGTCCTTTATGGACTCCGAAACCGCTCGACAGATTGTAATGAAACTTTTAGGCATTATTAAGCATTATTCAAGGATGGTTTGTGTGAAGTTTGGTGCAGATCCGTCAATAGGGCTCCACCCCAGTGGCTCTGGAGTTTCCCATGTTAACCTTATGACTACTCATATTTAAATGGAATTAAAGAATCTTAACAGCTGGTGCAGCTAAACAATTTGATTCTGTGATGTTCAATAGCATTAAAAAGTTAATAGGTTTACCAACAGGGTGCAGCACTATATTTTTTTTAATTTATGAGAACAGCTAATTTGCAACCAAAAGGTGAGTGAGCGTAGCGAGCGAACTTCAACCTGGAGGCGAGTTAGCGTAGCGAACGAGCTAACCTGAAGGCAAGTGAGCGCAGCGAACGAGCTCCAACCTAAAGGTGAGTGAGCGTAGCAAACGAACTTCAACCAGGACGTGATTGAGCCATGCGAACGAGCTCATCTTGAAAATGAACGAGCATGTGACATAAAACCACAATAGGACAGGACATAGCTAATTTAACACAGGACAGGATTTAACATAGGGCATTTAACACAGGATTTAACATAGGACAGGACGACGTCTGTCGGGCCAGCTAGTTTCTTATACATATGAATACTCATAAGCTTAACATGGTAAACTCCAGAGCCACTGGGGCGGAGCCCGAAAGGATTTTTGAGATAAGAATATGTCTATATGTTAATCGATAATGTCAGCTATTATAATGCCAACTTTCAGCCCAATCCGAGCAGTAATTAATAAGTGATTGAACATCAAACAAACAAATACACAAACTTTCACATTTGTAATTAGTTTTGAGTAACAATCAATATTCAAAATACATCAGTAGGCCTATTATACGAGTACATTGTAAAGTTAAGTTTTGCAAGAGACGTTCTTTGTGACTTTTTGCTATAAGTAATTCTCCTTTGGATCGGAGCTCGCTAATTCTTGGATTTTTGCTCTCCTACACCTTTGGGGGTTGAAAAGATTATATACGGTTCGATGAGCAGAGTGACCACTCCGCGCGACCGGTCTCTACCCTTGGGGGGCCATAAAACTAACCCTCGTCAAAAATCTGACCACTCCGCGCAACCGGTAGGTGCCCCCTCCAGATGGGACGATGTCGAAGTTGGACAACGTTAAACGTGGACTACGTTAAAAGCAGACACCGCCTCAATCAGACAACGATAAAAGCAGACAATGACGAACATGGACACATTCAAATGTGTCCAAGCTTAACGTTGCACGCAAACGACGAACCTGGACACATTTATAAGTTGTCCAGGGGTGGCGTTGCACGACACGACGAATCTGGACACATTCAAATGTGTCCAAGCTTAACGTTGCATGCAAACGACGAACCTGGACAAGTTTTTAAGTTGTCCAGGGGTGGCGTTGCACGACACGACGAAACTGGACACATTCAAATGTGTCCAAGTTTAACGTTGCATGCAAACGACGAACCTGGACAAGTTTTTAAGTTGTCCAGGGGTGGCGTTACACGACACGACGAAACTGGACACATTCAAAAGTGTCCAAGGGTAACGTTGCACGCAAACGACGAACCTGGACACTCTTAGTTTTTGAACAGACTGTACACCAGGCTCATCAAATTCTCAGTCTCGCTCGGTTGGTAAACTCTGAATGAGCTTCCTAAAACAGAAATGCCGTGAATACGCCTTATTGTTACAAGGCTTCTTTCAAGTTGCCTGGTGGGCGCGGGGTAGAGGCACGGAAACGGCGTCTGCCCCTCGTCTGCCGCTCATTCGGGTGTTTTCGGAAAGTATCGTGAGCCCTTCGGGAGTGTTCGGGTCCGAATCGAAGTGCACTGTTCATCCCCTCCAAAAGAATAATTCTCAGCGCTGCCCCGCGCTTCCGCTAGAGTTGCTTGGTGGGCGCGAACCCTGGAGAAGCGGACGGAAGTTTTTCTCCGCGTCGCGCCGTGCCGCGCCGCGCCGCGTCACCCGCTGAGTTGCCCGGTGGGCGCCTAGCGTTACTAATACCATACTTACCATACTTCATCTATGCTAATACACTGTGTTGTAGTGACTCATAGTCCGCGAAACACATTGTACATTATAAATTAGGAAATTTAATTGCATGTTTATTTGGTCGTTGTAAATGTAAATGTTTACATTACGACCATATTCATAATTTCTACACTACTTTTTAATGAAAGCTGTTAATATTTAAATTGTGATTTATTGAATTTTTCAAAATGAAGTACAGTACAGTATTTGCAATGGATTTTTCTGATTTTAAAATCGATTTTATTCTGCATCGTGTCATGTTTTGCAATATAATGTTGTGTAATAAGTGGAAAATCCTAACTTCACAGTAACTCTTAAAATTATTTATTTTGGAGTTAACTTATATCTATTGTATGGGTTGGATTCTGCCTTTTTTACCACATCTTGGAGATTGTACATAGGTGATATTCGTTGGAATATTGCATCTGTAGACAAAACTTGGGTTGGTGTAATTATTAAAATGGAAAAGAGCGAGAAATCCTGGACAATTTGATTTAGGCTAAAAATAAAACTGAATTAACACTGTTCTACATTTATTGAGAAATCATTAAAATAACCGATTTGCAAACAATGGAAACATAGCAAAAGTCATAGAACACAACCAAGTAGAAGAAATAGAA